ACCATCCAGTCAGAGCTGAAGAAGCTCCTTGGGATGAGAAGCGAAACGTCTTCAGAGAAAAAACCGGAAAAATCCAGCGGTCTCTTGAAAAAAAAAAAAAAGGACCCATTGCCCAGAGTTGAAAAACATCCTCAAGCTATTTGTCCTTCAGATGCATTGCACTACAAAGCCCATCCTTGCCCCTATGGGGGAGGGTGGGAGGCAACCAGCCACACCTCAGGGTGAGGGGAGGGGAAGGACTCACCTGGAAGCAGATGGCACACACGTCGTTGTGCTCCTCCAGCTGCCCGCGGGTGGCCCCGGGTAGCGAGCCGATCTTCTTGGCCGCCTCCCAGCGGAGGGAGAAGCTCTGCCAGCCGGATCGGGCCCTCCGCCAGACGTTGAAGTAGCAGTGGATGACGATGACCGAGGCCCCCAGCCACGTCCACTCCCCCACGATGGACCCCCAGGCGCCATAGGTCACCACGCACAGAGCCACCAGGAACTCCAGCACCCGGCTGACGGCCTGGACACAGTAAAGGATCTCGTCCATCTTCTCCACGGGGGTCTTCTGGAGGAGTTCGGCCATGAAGAGGCCGTAGACGAAGAGGGTCCCCGTCACCTATGGGGGGGGGTGAGGGGAGGGGCAGGGAAGTTGAGGTCGGCTCCCACCCCGACGACTTGGGGGAGCTCGAAGACCTGGCTGGGCCTGATGGGTTGTTGCGGGAGCGTCATCCCTGGAAGCTTTCAAGGAGAAAAAGGGCTGCCCTCTGTCAAGAAACGGTGTGGGGTCCCCCCGGCTTGGGCGGTGGGTGGGAGGGTTGGACTAGATGAACCTCCAAGGTCCCTTCCGATTCCGTTATTCAGAAATGGTGGGGGGCTTCATCCCTGGAGGCTTTCGAGGAGAGACTGGGCTGCCCCCTTTGGCGGGCAGGGACATTCCTCTGCGGATCACCAAAATTTTCTCACGGACCACCAGTGGTTCCCAGCCTACCGGTTGGTGACCACTGGACTAGAAGAGGGGTCACTAACCTTTGGGACCTCGGGGACCCCCAAACTCATCACTTTAAATCCCGCGGACCAGAGACCCTGGGAAAATCCCCCACCCCGTTTTCCGACCGATCGATCGTTCTTTTACTTGGGATCGCAGGATCCCATCTCCAGCTCCGTTCTCGGGGGGGTGGGGAGAGAGAGAGAGAGAGAGAGAGAGAGAGAGAGAGAGAGACTTTTGGCTTCATGCAAGGAAAACAGCAGAAGCCGCAGAAGTCTTTCTTTCTCTCCCCCAAACTCCGCCAGAAACGAGTCTTTGCCAGCTCAGCCTCTTGGAGCAGGAGGCCTTGCAGGGTCCCAAAGACTCATTTCTGGCGGAGTTTCGGGGAGAGAAAGAGAGACTTTGGCTGCTTTCCTTGCGTGCAGCCAAAAGCAGAAGACGATAGAAGCGGAAGTGGCCAGGCCAGGCAAGTGGGGCGAGTGGGGCAAGTTCCCCACCTCTGCCCTTTCCCCCCTCCCCTCCCTACCTCGTGTTGTTCGCAATGCAAGCGACGCAAGCCTTGCGGGCCATGTGGGCTGTGCAACCCTGTGTTCCCGCGCAGCCTGGATTAATTGCTTCGGGGGGGAACGGGACATTTCTCTGCGGACCACCACAATTTTCTCGCAGACCACCAGTGGTCCCCGGCCCACCGGTTGGCGACCACTGGACTAAATGACCTCCGAGGTCCCCCTCCAGCTCCATTCTGATTTGGGAACGCCGAGCCATACCTGCAGGGAAGTCAACATGCAGCTGGAGATGAGGATCACCAGCCAGAAGTCTGGCTGGAAGAAGTGGGCAATCTTGTAGGCCATGAAGCCCGGGACCACCAGGAGAAAAAGGCACAGGGTCACCCCACGGAAGTGCTTCCAGAAATTCCTGCAAGAAAGGGGTGGGGGTGAAAAGGAGGGTGGGGGGGTGCTTTGGATTGGCCAATGCAGGAGGAGGAGCCCCCCCAACCCAGCTTGGGAACCCTACACCCCATCTCTCAGGGCCAGAGGGGTTAAGGTGGCGTCCAGGGAGGTAGTTCTCGGCTTCTGACCGCCACCGACGTTTCCGTTGCTTCAAGTGAGACAGTGGCGGAGTGAGATTTGCCCCATCACACGACCTCGCTTGCCACCGTTGTCAGACGAATCCCCACAGTTGGGAAGCTAGGAACGCGGTCGTTAAGCGAATCTGACTTTCCCTCCCCCTTGACTTTGCTAGTCAGGAGGTCGCAAAAGGGGATCATGCCCCCCCCCCCGGATGCTGCGATGGTTGTAAATGTGAGTCAGTTGCTAAACAACCAGAATTTTGATGCTGAGGCTACAACGGTAGTTAAGTGTGAAAAACGGTTGTTAAGTCCCCTTTCTCAGGGCCGTTGTAACTTTGGTCACTAAACATCTGATACCTGTACAATTAGCACACACACACACCCCAAGGCTGTATGGTTTCTCCACTTCTCTTCTCCCGATATACCAATGACCGCATCTCAAATGATCCACCTGTTAAAATACTGAAGTTTGCAGATGATACAACAATGATTGGTCTCATTCGAGACAACGACAAATCCGCATACAGATGGGAGGTTCTACAACTTGCCTCGTGGTGTGACCGGAACAATCTGGAACTGAACACACTCAAAACCATAGAAATGGTGGTAGACTTTAGGAGAAACCCTCCCATACCACCACCTCTTAAAATGCTAGACAACACAGTATCAACAGTAGAGACCTTCAAATTTCTAAGTTCTATCATGTCACAAGACCTAAAATGGACACCCAACATCAAAAATGTCATCAAAAAAGCACAACAAAGAATGTTCTTCCTGCGCCAACTCAGAAAGCTCAAACTGCCCAAGGAGCTGCTGATCCGGTTCTACAGAGGAATGATGGAGTCTGTCATCTGCACCTCTATAACTGTCTGCGTTGGTTCTGCAACCCAACAAGACAGACACAGACTCCAGAGAGGAATTAGGACTGCAGAAAAAACAATAGCTACCAACCTTCCTTCCATGGAGGACCTGTGTACTGCACGAGTCAAAAAGAGGGTGGTGAAACTATTTACACACCCCTCACATCCCAGACATAAATTGTTTCAACTGCTATCCTCAAAACGACACTATAGAAGCCCTGCACACCAGAACAACTAGACACAAGGACATGTTTTTTCCCAAATGTCATCACTCTGCTAAACAAATAATTCCCTCAATAGTGTCCAACTATTTACAAAGTCTGCACTACTATTACTATTAATCTTCTCACCACTCCTTATCACCCATCCCCTCCCACTTGTGACTGTATGACTGTAACTTTGTCACTTGTATCCTTACGATTTATACTGACTGTTTCCTAGTATGATTTGATTGCTTATTGTACCCTAAGACTATCATTAAGTGATGTACCTTATGATTCTTGACTCTTGACGAATGAATTTTTTCTTTTATGTGCACTGAGAGCATCTGCACCAAGACAAATTCCTTGTGTGTCCAATCACACTTGGACACCAATTAAGAATTCTCTATTCTATTCTATTCTATTCTATTCTATTCTATTCTATTCTATTCTATTCTATTCTATTCTATTCTATTCTATTCCATTCCATTCCATTCCATTCCATTCCATTCTCTATTCTATTCTCTATTCTATTCTATTCTATTCTATACCTGACAGTGCTGTGGAATGCTGCCAAAAACAGAAGTATCAAATGAACTAGAAAAGAAACCAACTGAAGTATAAAAAAAAAACCAACCGAAGTACAAAGGAGTTTCAAGGATGACTCAGAACTGATCAAACTACTTTGCTTCCAGCAAAGAGTTCGTCATCTTGGCCTGACTTTCATCCCTTAGGAGAGGGTCCATCACCTCCCAGCCTTAACTCTCAAGTTGCTCCTTTTGTCTCAGCTGCTCTCGCCTTCTGGCAGCTCTGCGCCTACGCGCACTGGGAACAGGCTCCCCTGGTTCCTCTTCTTCGCTGCTGCCAGACTCTGGAGGCTCCGGAGTCAGCACTCCACTCCCAGATGGTCCTGGCTCCATCTCTGCATCGGATGCAGGGCCCTCGTCCAAGTCCCCCCCAAACTCCCTGACTGGTCCCCATTCTTCCCCACTGACTGATTCCGCTGCTGGCTACACCGGCTGCCAGTGAACCACAACAAGAACTTACCTTTTGGTTGTTAATTCTGAATGGTCACTAAATGTCTGGCCGTAAACCGAGAACCGCCTGTAGATAGATCCAGGCAGTCCTTGCCTTATAACAGTTCATTTAGTGACTGTTCAGAGTTACAATGGCACTGGAGAAAAAAAAAAGTGATTTTTGATTGTTTTTCACACTTATGACCATTGCAGCCTCCCTAACGTGATCAAAATTCAGACTCTCGGCAACTCACTCGTATTTATGATGGCTGCAATGTAACACTATCATGTGATCCCCTTTTGCGACCTTCCGGCGAGCAAAATCCATGGGGAAAGCCAGGTTCACTTAACAACTGGGTGACTGTCTTAACAAGCGCAGTGATTTGCTTAACAACAGTGGCAAAATGAGGCCAAGTTGACTTAACAAATGTCTTTGGCTTAACGACGTCACTGTTGGGCTCCATTGCGGCCTTTACGTGGAGTGGCCTAGAGGGGGAGCTCTCAAATCACAATCAAGAAGCTGTGAGTTCGATCCTAGACAGAGGCTAGGATCTGGGCACACTGAAAATGTATCTGCTGGACAAAACTCCACACTGGCAACAGGAAAGGTATCTGGCCATTAAAACACTCGGCTCCACTCAGTTGCCCAGACTTCACCCCACAAGGGATTATGGGGTCGTTAAAAGAGGACGATTGTGGGTCTTCACGTTGCCCTCTTCCACAGCTGCGTGGACCCCCAAGATGGGAAAACCCCTCCCCTCCTCACCTGTTCTGCGACGCCCCCAGACCCAAAACGACCGGCTCAGCTATTTCCGTCACCGATTGGAGAGTGGAGGTGGCCACGATGAAGAAGATGACGGTGAGCAGGTAAGTCCTCTGGAGGAGCTGAAGGTCCAGGAGGCCCGTCTGGATGGCCAGCAACAACAGCGTCACCCCTTCCGTCACGCCCCTGTAAGGGATGGTTGAGTGGGTGGGTGGGCGGAAGGGATGGAGAGGTGGGCCAAGTATTTTGGGAGACCCCCTGGCAGGTGGGTTTCGGGATGCAGGGTAAAACCTGGTAGTCCTCCAGTTAGGGTCATTCGTTTAGTGACCGTCACAACGGTCTTGGGATGAGAAGGGAAAGCTGCCTCTTTTGAAAAGCAATTCTCTGCGGGGGGGAGGGAAGACATTTTTGAACCCAGACTTATGACTGTTCAATTAGCGGCTATTCAAAGTTGCAACAGTGTTGGGGGAAAAAAAAGGGACTTGCAGCCATCTTGTTCACACTTAACGACTGTTGCAGCTTTCCCAAATCCAGGCATTTTAGCAACCAGAGTGTCTAGTTATGAAAATGGTCCTGTGGGGTTCTGCGATCTCTTTTGTGACCTTCTCAGGCAGATTCGCTTAAGGTTCTGACCCAAACCTTGTTCCAAGGAAATCAACACCAAACAGAGGTAACAGCAAAACCTTTTAATGATCCTTTACAAATTCCGTCCCTTCCCGGTGAAAAGGCTGTTTCAGACTAATCGTCTCTGATAAGAACGAGCCTTGCTGAGGTGGTGCAAGGTTGCCAAGAACACGAGATAAAGTTACCAAGAAATATTCCAAACACAAAGACTCTCCAAACACCAACCAAGATAGTCCGAACGTCCACAAGGCTTGAGTGCAAAAACGTCTTTGCTTCCTGCAAAGAACTCCGGTTTCTCCACTGACTTTTTTCTCTTAAAGGAGGGGCCATTACCTTGCAGCCTTACTCCCGAGTTACCCTTGCTGCTACAGCTGCTCTTTCCTTTGAGCAGCCCTGCACATACGCACACTGGGCACAGGCTCCTCGGGGGCCTCTTCCTCACTGCTGCCAGCCTCCACAAGCTCTGAAGGCAGCACTCCACACCCTGAGGATCCTGGCCCCATTCCTGCATCACACACAGGCCCCTCATCTGAGTCCTCACTCTCCGAGACCTCAGCTGTCCGCACCTGCTGCCAGCCAACCGCAACACTTAATGACTGCGGGACACTGCGGTTGTCGTAAAGACGAGTCACGTGAGCCAAGCGCCTGGATTTCGATCACGGGGGAATGCTGCAACGGTCAGAAGCGTGAAAAGTGGTCGTAAGTCACTTTTGTCAGTGCCGTCGTTAACTTTCGCAGCAGTCCCTAAATGGACTGTTGTCAAGTCGAAGACTACTTTGGTCATCAGTCGAGGACTGTCTGCTGATGGCGGGTTTTGACCGAGGGATCGAAGAATGGGCTTAGCTGGGGGTCAAAATCTTGAACCAAAGGGGGAGGGCCGAGGGGACGGAAAGTACCGGGGGGGGGGGGCCGC